TATAAAAGTGACAGAAACATCTGTCACTGAATTTGGCCATTGAAACGAAACATTATTTCTCTACTCCGACACATTGAAAGTAATAATTCGTCTAGTGCAAGAACTGTTCAGGAAGCAAAAACTTTAGTGATAGAAAAATGTCACATCCGGTCGTCACGTTAGTTCTAGTCACACAATAGCAAGGAGATTAGTGTCTCGTGAATAACTCCAGATTAAAATAACGAGACACCTGATGACAACTTATACCAAGTCAGGGCAGAGAATAGTGGTTTGTTTGGTGTCTTCTTTATAGATAAACATTTGCCTTTGTAATTATCGATAAAAAAGAGCCCAGCTGTTGACGCTGGTATGGCTAGCGCGATAAAGGTAATGTTGCCGCTAAGCGTCTTGATTCGAGTCAGTTCGAGTCATATGGCCAGAGCATGATCTCGCTATGATGGACACGTGCTATGATAATCCCAATGGGTCCATTAGTACTTAAGCCGATCATGGTGGCCCATGTCATACTAAGTATTCTGGGCACAGAATCAAAGTTTCAGTGTTAAGCAAAGCGATCACGATTTTCTCATATGGAAATTTGAAATTCTTGACTTGTCTTGCATAAATTTCTCAGTACTGACATCAGTTTACAAGATAAGAAAAATGGACTTTGTGTATCTTGTGGAACCGAAGTTCAGTTCACCAAAAATTTGTTTCAGCAGAGATATATGTTTGGTACGTGATTTGCATCCGAGCCACGCCAAAACCAATATAATTGAATTAAATTCCACTTTCGCTGCATCAAACGTCTGATATTATTTGTCCATATCATATATTTCATTTTCAACTAAGAAACAAAATGAATGGAATGATCTTGGCAGCGCTATCGAGGTGTGTTACTGATAAACACACAAACATGTATTGCATGTCACGGAAAAAACTGATGTCCGATTGGCCGGCGATACAGTAATAACGAACCATGTGGCGTTCGATATCCAATTTAGGGGGTGTTTACATCATATCGGGACGACTTTCATCCCGGCGCGAGTTCACTCCGGTTCCCTCTTATGGCTCTGTATTCGTTTACATGATACCAACACAAAATGTCATGCCGGCGCGAGTCATACCGGCGCGAGTTCACCCCGGTTCTTGTGCCGGAGCGAGATTTTCATCCCGGCACGAAAATTCATTCCGGTGTCATGTAAACGGGGTATGACTGTTCGTTTCATATCCATTAAAGTTTCATCAATTTTACGGCACTATAAGACTCGCACCCCAACAAACACGGCTTTATGTAAACACGGTGCAACTTTTCATCTCGCCCCGGAATGAAAGTCGCCCCGATATCATGTAAACACCCCCTTAGATCGTGTTTCTGTATGACGTGATTTTCGCTTAGACGCAACTGACGATATACCTTGTAACATTTTCATCAGTTGAAGGTCAACTGTGTTCGACAGTCGCACCAAATTTGTAGCCGTTTGGCAGCAAATTGCGCTAAGTAAAGTTGTATTATTTTCTCTACAGAGAAGTGAAAAACAATTTCGAACACTGAAGGAATATTATATACATGCACTTTCGAAAATCATGTGCTATAAAAAATAAGTTTAAAGTTCAAGCAAAGTAAGTATTGTCACTGGTACGAGACGGCGAAAATGAAATCTCGGTGGTTGCTAAAAATCACATTTTATAGAAATAGATTTTGTCAAAATCGACGTTGTTGACTTTTACGACTTTGAAGACGCTATTTTGTCAAATCCAAGCCCGATTTTACAATTAATTCTATGAGTAATTTCAATGAATTTTAAAGAACTACCGCACTCATATACTTTAGAGCATAGAACAGGCAGTTACAAACTGTTTCTTACCCACGGCGTCCGCAATGAACAAGATCACAACAATAAAAAGCTTCATGCTTGAATCCTCCCGCGAAACTTTCTCTTCTCTACAAGTAGGTTGTTTAAACCCTGACTAATAATAGCAGCGTGATATAAACACGTGAAGGTCATAGGCACGATATAGACATTTGATTGGGCAAAAGTCCACGAAATGATTGACAGCTGAACTTATGTAAGATATAGCGTGTTCCTGATACCAAAGGAAAGGTGAAAGGTAAATTCTTCGACGAATCAAAGTGTCCAATCTTGCTGGACTCGGTGTTCGCAGCGTAGATTTTTTAGATTTTTATTTTTCTACGCTGTGATTGGCTATCTGAGCGGGCAAGATGGCGCTATCTTCAATGCCTGCTCGGAATTACCCGCTGTATCCCACAAGAATGTGGTGCTCTTTATACCAAGTAATAAAACCTTTACAGTGATCAAGCTTGCCGAGTAAAGATGGCTGGATGTTGGCTTCGTTCCTTTTCTGCGTGCTTTCTATGGAACTCGGCTACGTCTTGGTCCATGAAAACCTCTAAAAATAACTTGGCCAAGATCCGGCCGTCTTGACCTCACGCTTAGTCAATAAACCCATACAACTGTTTTGAGAAAGGTTGCCCCACAAAAGCGTATAAGAGTACGCGACAATGGTGGGTTTAAGGTGTCTTGATTGAAGCTGCAAGGTGTTTCAGCGTGATAAAAGAAAACAGCACAAACACATGTACTCATGCTTCCCTTTCCTTCTTGCTTTTACACCCTGAACGTAAATCAAGTAACGCCATAAACTATCGCTATCAATCGGCATTGTGCCGCAACCTTTGTCGAAACAGCTGTATATAGCGACCAGTGATCCCGTAATTTAAATTTTCTCTGTATACTGGGCGCGAGGGTGAAACGGCGATTCACCTTCTGAGACGTGAGACCTCAACGTGAACAAAAGGTTTTTCTACTCATTTTGAAATAAAAGCCAATCTATCAGTGAAAACCTGTAAAGGGCTGGGGTGTGATTGCTCCCCAGACTCTCCAAAAAGTGTGCTGAAATGGATTTTTGTCTTCAGTCGACGCAATTTCACGCACGCCCTGTTTAGTTGATTCGGTCGGCGAAACAAGGCTAGTGAAAAGGGAGCCCGAATGAGGGGGCGGTGGGGGTGCGCTTTGAATAAGTTATCTAGGGTGTGGCTTGAGCCGAGTATTAGTTTGCAATATTGTATAGAGTTTGACCATTCTGGTCTGAAACTGACAGGGCATACTTTGTGCATTCTGGTCAACAATGAAGTATAGTTCTTGTCATTGTTGTTATTGATCTCTTACGACTTTGAAGCCCTTACTCTTTTTAAACACGAAAAAAAAAACAACAACAACAACCAGCCGCTATTCCCGCCCCGGGTTGCCGCGGTCTATTGTTCGTTTGCCTAGTTCGAAGGCTGCGCCTGGATGATTGAGACATGGTCTGAAATTGACTGTTCCAGGCTCTCAAGCGGGCGATCGGAATAAGCCTGTAAGCGGGCGGCGACGAGAGGGATCAGCGAGCCCCGCTCGTCGCCCGCCCGCTTTTTCGATTATCCCCCCGCCACTGACAGAGAGCCTGGAGCAGGCTAGTATTAGGTCAGGTCTCAGACAGGGTAAGGTAAATCACACATGTTGAATATGAGTACGCCACAGACCTCTACCCAGATGTTCGGAAACTACCCCCGGGCTTAACATGTGATTATCCGTACAGATTAATGATATACTAAAATAACATGTGACATTGAACTCCCTTGTGTGGTCTGTGGGGTAAAATTTCACATATCAATTCGTGAACCTTTCCTGTACTCACAGCCAAGATAATCCGCGCATCCGGTAAATTTTCCTTGGTGACTTTTAAAATAGTTGACACAGTTATAAATTTAGCACTGGCATTGCTATGCTTTTTGAGTGATTTGCTACCGGCCTTTGAAAGGGCTAACCATTCCCAGACACGAAGGGACGCGAGAGTGTCGTTGCCGAATGATGACGTCACGAATGATGACGTCACGAAACTTTTTGATATATTAGTTTTAGTCGCAATGCATTATGGGAAGGCATTCATTCCTCCTCTGGGATTTAACTTGCTTTGCGCATTTCACGCCACTACACGATCTAACGATATACGGCCGACTGCTAGGGCCGGTCACGTGGATTTAAATTTTCACTGCATGACCGTGATGCCTCGCGTATTGTTTGTCGAAAGCCGGTTAACGCTATCCCAGGAGTAAAAGTTAACCGAAATATTAATTTTTCTTGTTTAAAAATATTTTTCACTGTCTGTATTTCGTGAAGTTTGTGAAGTTTTAGATAATTAATACTGCGTTGCCAATTTATCTACCTCTCACAACATATTGCGTTGCCAACTTGAACTAATAACATAGTTGTTTCTCTAGACCTAATCTGTTTTCGTATTTACTTATCTATTTATTTATTAGTTTTTATTGTGTGTATTTTCCTCTTCTTTTACTGATTATCCTGGCCCGCCTCGATTAGCACTGCTATCCGCGGAGCCAGGGGAATTAGGATTCATTATCAAATAATAAAAAACTGTTGTTTGTTGTTGTTGTTATACTTGGGTAGCCTAGCCTTATTTTGGAAACACTTCCCGGCTGCCGGGCAACTAGACACAATGATTTTTATAACAAAATAAATCCAAGGAACCCAAAGACATCAAGAGAAGAGGGTCAGAAAAAAAACGCAAGACAAACATAAGATCGCCCACTTTTATTTAAATTAGTTTCTACACGTAGCCTTTAGAGCAATTTTCGAAGCACTCTCGTATAAATCGTAACGCAATCGCCAACAGCATAATCTCACAAAGATCCGGTACATAACGTCTGGGCCTCCAGTGCTATTAAATAAAATATTGATTTTAGCAATAAACGGGAGCTGAATTTCGACAAACGAATCATTCAAGCTAAATGAAGGCATCGAATGCATCCTAATAATCCCTAATTACTGCTAGTTCCTTCGCAATATCCGCAATATTTATGCTTTGTTTTACACACATTCTTATCATTCTTATTCTGAAAAATGAAATACAATGGTTATCTACCGGCCGTTCACTGTATATTGCTTATATTGAACCAGTCGCAGGGGAAGCATCACTTTAGACACCGTCTTAAGTCTTGGCAATCACCTGCTGTCATGTTCAGTACCGAGATTCACTAGAACAACCAAAAATCCAAATATCATTAGAGACACGCCAAATGGCCACGCGTAGTGCTTGTCGCTGAAGGAATATGGCCCATTGTTAATATCAGCATTGTCCTGATTGTTGTCCTCAGACTTGTAACCAGGAGTAAGAAAATAACCTGCCAAAAACATGCTTCCCAGCGCGAAGGAAAGAAGTCCGATCACAAACCACTTGGTCTTTGAATCCATTCGGTTAGCTGGTTGTGCACTCGTTAACTGATGTATCGGAACTTGACCTGTTTCGGGAGAACATAATTTCCTCAGTGTATTAGTTTCCTCTCGTGACCTTGAATAAGAATAATGACTCCGTACCTTGAACTGCAGCATCCACTGAGGTCTTTCAATCAGGAATACTATAAAGTTGATTCAGCTAGTCTATTTCAGTACGATGAATTTACTTCTCAAGGAGCTACCAGGATATATAAAGTCAGTTCAGCGAAACTTACTTGTACCAAGCCGTACCAGGAGGTGCGAAAAACGGACGTATTCCAAATTTGGTACTGAGTTCCGGGACGAATAAGAATGGTGAATCCTTCTCACGGGCCTCCCCAAGGTAAGTAATCCCACCCCGTGACCCTCTCCCCACCGGTTCACAATTCCTTTTCTCTGACGGTTTAGACACGATTGCGAGGTTAGAAGATGCCTCTCGGCATCCGACTGTTCTTCCTAGACGTCGTGGCCTTGGCAAGCGCCGAGGCCCTAAAAAAAATTAAAAAAGGGTGGACTATTCACAGTCCAGAAATGAAGCAACAAGATTTAATATTAGGAGCAGAAGATTCAAATTTAACTCGCGTTCTGAGCTCGCTTAGGGCTTGGGGAGATTGGGGAGAGGAAAATACTAGGTACCTGGAAGCCTCTAAGGAGAAAAAAGCTTTTCTTTGGCCATCGTAGCTTAAAAGGAAATACTATGCAGATATGTACATGTCAAATCTTCTTATTCAACTTTAAATGAAGCAATTCTGTCTAGAATTACATGTAATTTTGGCAGTCTGTTGTCCCGGTTGTCTGTCTGAAGCAATATAGGGGGAGTTCTTTTGGGTCTTCGCATTAGATACGCGTGCGCTTGCTCGTAAGGGAAGTGAACATATCGAGAATATCGGCTGAGCCGTGAGGAGAATAAGGACTGCAGCGCTTAGTTTAGAGCTTCCTTAGCACTTAGGTACAATGGGGAGAGGAAAGTATTAAGCACCCAGAAGCCTCTGCGGCGAAGAGGGCTTGAGCTTGCTCGCTACTCTCCTTAGCTTGCTTCTTATCATTAATAGCTAATTGTTTTTTTCATTTTGCTTTCCTCTTGGACAAAGAAGACACGACATAAACATTAGACATAGCCATAGCAGTTTTGGAAAGAATTGGACTCGGAAGTTATCGGCAGCCATCAATAAACACTTGCTTTTGATGGTCGAAAATTATGACAAGAGTGCCCCAAAGGTACGGTAACAGAATCTTGTTTTATGGACATGGCTCAAACTCATTTTTACCGCTAAGAAATACCAACTCTGCAACAACAATTTAGCTGACACTGGCAATTTTTGATAGGGACCTTAACTTAGCCACCAGGCAACTGCAACGAGACCGCCACGAAACAAAACCTTTCATGAGCAGAACAATAGCTGTGCACGTGCGTTATAAATCTTTTGTTTGTTTCTTAGCCATGCTCTGTAAAACAACAACGTGAAATTACGAAGTTCGGCGTATTTTGGAGAACGTAAACAACGGCGGCTAATTTTTCGTATTTTCATCTGGAATTGAACGCTAGCATTACATATTGAGCTCGAGCAAGTTCTGAGACGGATAGACGCACTGAATAGATTTAGGCATCTGCGAAATTCATATATAAATTCATTTTTTTCTAGGCGTCGTCCTTGACATCGCCGTCGTCAATGCTTGAGGTCCCTAATAGGGACCTTAAAAGGACCCTATTAAGTCCTAGGGACTTAATAGGGACCTTCATAAGGTCCCTAATAGGGACCTTAATAGGGACCCAGGGACCTTAAAAGGACCCAATTAAGTCCTAGGGACCTAATAGGGACCTTAAAAGGACCCTATTTAATAAGTAGGGACTTAATAAGGACCTTAACATGTAAACAAAATCAAACAAGCATTGAAATATTACTACAAAGAAATGAGATAAAAAGGTAAAGTCTGTATTTATTCTCACAAATATCCAAACATCCAAACTTTATTATGTGCACAGTTTTGACAAAAAAGCAGTTATTTGATGGACACACAAGGATTCCTTCTGGACCTAATTAACTTTACATGCTACATGTACATGTAGGTTTCACAACATTCCCAAGCATTTGATCATTTTTTTTTTAACCTCAGAATGAGCATCTTATTCGCTGTTGCAGTTCCATCAGTAAGGGCAACTTGATCCCAGTCAGGGCTTATGCTTAGGCAAGTTGTTTGTAGCCATCAACCCAATGAGACCAATATACAACTGATAGAACCAAGAACACCTGTCCACAGCATCAATCTGATAAGAAAAATGGGAGAAATAAATGGTTGTATGCTTTAGTACCTCAGTATTTATACACTAAATGTACACAGCTACAACACTCAAAGTGACCTTCACCTACCAAAGCCAAAACTTAGCCTTGGTAAGTGTACTTTTAGATTTTCAGGTTCAGTACATTTTAATTTGCTACCAACAAAATTTCTTTAAGCTTTAAATTAAATCTCACCTTTTTAGCATAGTATAGTATACATGTATTTTCCTAGCTTCTTAAATTCGATTTTTAACTACTGTATACATATTTGTAACATTTATTGCTAGCCCTGGCCCCTCTGGATACCAGCCATGATATTGAATGGGCGGCCACTCTGGCTAAATAAAGTTTAACTAACTTACTATGTATGTAGTGCCCTCATGCTCCACTCACAGGAGCAACAAATATGAGTGAGTGAGTGACACATGTATGTTAGGCACTGGCAGAGTAAAAGTGTCTTGCTCAAGGACATGTGCAATGCAATGACCCTGGCCAGGGCCTGAACCTGGACCACTCAATTTTGTGTGGAGAATAACACAATATTCATTTGAATGTAGATTTTGCACATGAAATAAAGCAAACTTTAGGAGAGTAAGGGGTATACATGTACCTAACCCCCAGGAATTGTTTATTTTTAGAGGCTCAGAAAAGTCATTTCCCACATTTTCCAGGGAGCCGTACATTGTACAGTGAGTACATTTTGTTCACATTCTGTAGTAACTTATGTTGTTTAGATGTCAACCTTTGGGATAATTGATAGCAGGTTTCACTGTTTAATACATGTAGGAGAGACTAGAGACTGTCAAACCAGCTGATTTAATTGTGTGACCTTTTGCTCAAAAAATGTAAATTCTTTTTCCTGAATTTCTGGAAGTAAACATGTGCAAACATTGTCACTACGCCCCTGAAGACCAAAGATTCCCCAGGTATCGTTTTCCATGCCTACACTGTACATGTACCTCTCTACAATGGCTAGTCTAATAAATTTCTCCCAGCAAAAAACCGAACCATGCACTTAAATCTTGTTGTAACCTCTCAAATAACAGAAAACTATCACCAATGGCCAGTTAATTCTGCTACAGAGAGGCTATTGCAGTGAAATTCAACTGCAATAAAAACCATTCAGTTACACAAATATTCCATGGGTAAACAGAATGATACTGAATTCATGTCTTAGATCGCCAGCTGCTGAATAAATTACCTTGTCATTGGAATTCCATATTTTCCTTTCAAGTACACTGGTAATCCATCTTTCTTCTAAAAAAAGAGTGGCAAAAAAGGTAAAAAAAAAAAGTGAAATGAAATCATGGGCTCATTGAGTTATTTTGTAGTATAGCAAAGTTCTAATTTCTGCCTTTTACACTTTTCGAACAAAGATATTTCATCTTACAAAAGCCACCTAGGGCTGCAAAGAGTTTTAAGACTCAAAAGTTGGTAGATGTTTTAATAACAAGAAAAAAAAAAGTTATCTTGTGTACTCCCTGTGCACACCCTTCTGCCCCTGGGTACCCACTAGAGAAAATGAAAGGAAACTCCGAAAACCATTGTACAGCAATGAAAATAACAGTTGGTCAGTTGGACATTGTCAATCAAATTTGGAAAATTGTCTGCTTAATTTTACATAATGATTGGACATCACGACCAAGCTGCATCAGCAGCCAAGTAAAAATACTGAGTTGTTATCAACACTTGACTTTGCTCTGTCAAAGGACTAGTTAATGCTCTAAAATAACAGTGTCACAAACTTGCTACAGTAGCTAATTTACCATTTATCAATTTCAAGTTTTTGAAATCTCCGCTGAATCTTAGTTCAGAAAAAAATGCAAAGAAGAGTTCACAGTGATATTCCTTAATTTACCCGTAATACAGGATCATTTTTCCTGCTTGCAGCAGGGATACAAGATGGTTTATAGTGGCCATACGGCACTGGCTATAACCATCTAATATCCAACAACATCAGTTTTATTAGTAAAAAAAAATAATATTGCTTTATATCAAAAACAACTATAAAACATTCCTAGATCTTGCTACAGTACCGCTCAGAACTAAACGAAACAAAATTCGCGTTAATAACGCGTTGAAAACGCGAAGGGTCAAATGTGCGCACGCGTTTTGCTACGTTAGACTGCGTTTAGACTTTGCGGTACTGTACTTTTTCATTTTTTGCAAAAAAGTGAGGAAGGCCCTCATTTGCAAGGTGAAATGTCTGATATCCAGTGGCTGTTAAGGATGGTGCCTTCTATTGCTAGTGTGCACATGTTCAGCACATCACATAAGGCATGGTTTACACTCTACATGTGCACTAGGGTTGACATTGATGTAATCAAAGTTCTATGCTCCCAAGTATGTGACTAAAATGAAAGCCAAATTTTCCTACTGTGACCAAAATCAAGTTTAATGAACCTCTGCTAAAACCAGGAATAGGAGAATCCTTGTTTACAATATTTGACTCATTAGCATAAGCAATTCAGTTTCTGATGGAGCTACAAATAAATCAGTTGCAAATACTGTAAAGTCATAGTATGATTAATGCCGCCCATGAATATGAACCTGATGCATTGAATACTTTTTGTGCAACATGAGTTTGAAAACCCCAGATTTTACAAAGAATGTGTGAGCTAATTAGCGCTTTTGCCACCCAGAAATTTTGCAGTTTTTGAAAGACTATTTCTCTTTGAATATTACACCCAAATAGCTCAAATATTTCACCATGTATCAAGTTTCACTATAGCCCTTTATCTGCCTGGAGTCTGTTCATATCTAACATGTTTCCTTCTGTATGCAAAGCCGTATGCAAATGAGGAAAAATGTAAACAATGACGTCAGCATGAATCCCACTATACCAGAAAAGCAGCGTAACACTAAACACTAACTGTTAACGGCTTCCAGCCGAAAGACTAGCTGCTATCTGTCAAAAATGATACTGAAATCCAAATGTAAACCATGTACCTGCAGATTGCGTAGTGCACGTGTAAAACAAGTACGAGAGACACAAATGTTTTACTTACTGGGGAGGTTACAAGAAAAAGTGTAACGGGCATTGTAAATGTTTTCAAAAAAGATGAATAACTTTCAAAAATGCATGGTTAAACCCAGCCTGCGAAAACAGCCGTCCTTCGCTCCCGGCTGAGTTGCGTTTCGTGAAAAGGACGTCTGTGATTTACCACCTAAAATTCCATATTGATGACATAAGTGTGAACTTTGTAATTTTGCCTAAATATGCATAAATTACCATTTGCTGTTATAATAGCGGACTTGTGGCTTTTGCCCCGAGGAGATAAATATTCATGATCAGGAAGAAACTTGTATTCTTCGCAGAAGAGGTGCTGGAAAGGGCAACAGATACTATGTGAGGACTGATATTAAGACCAACATCACTGAGCTCCTGCAAAAGATACTGAGAAATCTCGAACATTTGTTCACTTTCTCCTGTTGAACTCGACAAATTCACGTCTTTCCATGTTTCCGTTTTGCTGTCCGTCATGTAAAAAGCCAATCGAGAAGCGACAGAGGTTAGTGGATAACATTATTATCGTGGAAAATGACTTGCGTAGTCGACAATTTCTTGATGAAAACTTTTTTGGGATAGCTGCAAGAAGCATAAGAATATATCTAGACAAACGTACAGTTTTTTCGAAGTAAAGCTACGGCATCTCCGAAGAATGTGCGGCGACAAATATGATATCCATGATAAGAGTCTAACGTGCTTGCAAACAGATCTTATCACAGCCGTGTCCGGTGTCACAATATAGAATGCAAGTAAGCAATATGTTCACAGTAAATTTCATACTTTGTCCCTCAAAAGCAAGTACTTCGAGACTTAAAAACACATCTATTCTTGCAACAGAAATGAGCCTAAACAATGCATAAACACATGGCAAATTACAGAGGTGTCAGACTCGACAAAGCGACATGCAGATAATAGTGGATATCATGCAGACCTATGACCTCTAAAAATTTGCCACAGCATGGTCTAACGGCTCAACTCCACTTAAAATCCTCCTTATAACACAACTTGAAGTGTCCTTCATAAACACGAGTTAAGCAACAAAAACGGTTGAGAGACTGAAAAGAGAAGGGCAAACGTACAAATGCCATGAAACGTAGGAGTCCTTTAACCCTGTCAACCAAATTTAATAACAACTGGTTGTTTTGATGAGAATATTCAATGTCACGCATATTTATCGACTTAGTTATGCATAATTACCAATCGAACCAATCAGTGTTCATGACCAGATGCGGGACAGATTTGCGTCATCAGTATGGAATTTTCCGCAATAAATCGCAGACGTCCTTCTCGTGAAACGCCACTTGGCTGGGAGCAAAGAAGGACAGCTGTTTTCGCAGGCTTGGTTAAACCCCTACATTAATTTTTATGCTATGAAATGGAAGTGGCAAGCCTATTCAACATGCCACCCGAGGACAATTGACAAATCTATTGCATTGTGTTGTTTTCTGTGTGCACGCACCTTCACATTTCATTCAAGATGAGCCAAGCTAAGCTACTCACTATCACAGAATAGATAGTGGGAAGCGTAGCCAATCAGAGTGTGGCATTCGTGATAGAACGTTAGTAGATTTATACTAAAAGTTTATACACATTGCCCTATTCTTCAAATATTGCTTAATTGACTCTACATGTGTCACAAATTTTCAGCTTGCACGAATTTTTTCTTCGCTCACTGCTTGTGCAGGATTTTTATTTGTTCAATTTATCAAAAAACACACTCGCAAAAGCCTGAAATAGGTCTAAACCAGGCCACACAGCAAAAACTGAACTTGATCGGGGAGATGGCATAACAGAAGCAAAACTGAGATGTTATTCACCCCAATAATTATCTATGCACCACGTTCTGGTGAAATATTATATATTTTAAAGCCACTTTAACTCAGTTCAGGTCCGTAGACCGAAGTCCAAGGTCCACAATTGACATTTCTGAAGTAAATTTACTGCCTAAAGCTAAACGCATGAGCTTAAAATTGTGCAAATTTGAACAGTTCCTTTATATAAATTTCAAAGCTAATAAACGACTCTACTCAGCACTTTATGCACTACTTCGTGATTATAAATTTGATCTTTTTACAGAAGATTCTCAACGTTTCAAGTATGGTGGTAAGACAAGGATTAGCTCACGAGGCCGGGATGACAAATCTGTGCTTTTTCTTATGTAACAAAAAAATAATATCATAATAATTTTACCTGTATTTCAGTCTCCCACGGTAGCTTGCTTGTACAAAGAATAAACCTCTAATTTGTCAGCATCACTCGGTTCTGTAGCCAATTTCTTGACCTCGTCAGCGGCCTTCAGAAATGCCTGATACAGACGACATTACATCAACTTAAAAAGGAATAAAAAAGCAACAAAAATAGAAAAAAAACAATCGGTTGACTACAGGGAACTTTAACAGATACAAGCTGTGTACCTCAGACATTACAAAGATGTTTCACTCGATATAATTCGGCAAATTTGCAGAATACACCTCTTGTGCAAGAATCAAGATCACAGCGGGACAACGAACTTAGACGGGAAGGAATGGGTCGAGCTTGTCCGAAAACCGGAAGAGAAAAGTCATTTCAGTTGTATTACACTTCTGGAATAGCCAAGACGCGGGAAAAAATACGGTAAAACTCCGAGAAATAAATAAATAAATGAATGAATGAATAAATAGATAAAGCCCTTCCGAAAGTAAAACCCTAAAATTTGAAAAGAAAAAAGCCTCCTAATTTCCTATAAATTTCGTATAAATTTCCGTATAAAAGCACAAATGTCCAGCGCTGGCCAAAAGATCCCTACTGTCCTTTTTCATCCTGGTGTGGAAGTGTGCAATAGTCTGACAAACTGAGGATATTGTGAGTCACACTTTTACCTAGTCCACGAACTCCTTGTCATTCTCTACTGAACACCTGTCCGATAAGTGACTCTTTACTTTGGAGATCGGACACGGCTCAGCTTCGCTCCGTTCTGAGAAATCGCCCCGCTACAACCCTTCTTTAGCCTGAATTTCATCCGATTACTTCGCGTCGTTATTACTCCTACTGAGGGAGCAATAACGACTCGAAGTAATCGGATGAAATTCAGGCTAACCCTTCTTATGTAAGAAGCCCTATCTGGTATGATTTTTGAAGCAGCGCAAATGCTATACAGCTAATGTGAACATAGCCTTAGGGTAGACAAAAGCAACCTTGAAAAACATGGAAGAAATTTATGCAGTAAATACACTCTACTGGGATACTATGTTGCAACAAAGGATGGATGTTTTTTGCCTCTAAATAACGCTTTAAAACAGAGATTGTACTCGTAGTCCTATAAACAAATACCCTGCGAGCACTGCTCTTAGGGTAATAAGGCAAACAGAGTTCTCAAAACCTGAAATGAAGAACTAAAGGAGGTGGCAGAGGAGAAGATTTATTGAAAGGCTAGAGCTGCCTTTTCCGTGACACAGCCACATGTGGAGTAGTCAAGAAGGGGCTTCGCCGAACCACTATCGGGATGGATCCGGTCTTGCTTTTATAATCTCAAACAATTAATAACACAAAGTTTCAGTACTAGGTATTTCGTTTATTGATGTCCACTGCTAAAACAAATTACAGACTGGGAGCACAAGCGGTTACTACATTTATTCACGTTTCACGATCAAACGCTTCTGTATTTCTCAAAATCCCTTACAATCCGTTCACATTAGCAAATATCTACTACGCGGTCAGAACAAATTGAAAACCCCACAAGGTAGATAACTTGATACATTCAACACTCTTTTGCAAAAACCTGTCCGTCATCTCCAAGAGGAGAGTCTGGAGAGAGCGGAACTGTCTTTTCTTGATCTCTTAGCCCTCTTACAATCTTAGCATTACCATCATCTCCTTGGCATTCAGTCTGTGTAAAATGAAGAATATGTCATCAAAATACTGATACGAATAAAGAATGAAATGTTAGTCGTGGGAGTTATGGCCAAGGTTTCCTGTTTTTTTTTTTAGCTGCATTATGATTTTTCAGGGATTCGGCAGATTTCCCGTCAAATCTCGCCTTGGTGATTCATTCCATGAAATTAGTTTTAACTAAATGTTTGTGAGTTTTTGGATCACATATTTTGATGCCAAAGAACAAAAGGAATACAAGTGTTAAAGCTAGGGGCTATGTCAAGCTATTTGCTATCTTTTCATAAAGCTAAAACATTTTTTCGTATAATTAATTGGGAATTCCAAACAAACTGGTCCAGCTGTATTTAGGTCAGTATTGAAACTGTTTCCTGTCGTCTGTTGCTAGCGATGGCAAAGATGGACATGGACTGGATTTAAAAAAGATGGGCCAACGTTTTCAAGTTTAAATGCTATGCTTGCAAAAATCACCCACAAAAAATGTTTGCTTAGTGCTCCCTGATGAAATTTTGTTTGATATCTTTTTGATATAAACTCTGCAGGAGCTTTTTGTGTATTTGTACAGGCACTAAGTAACGACTTCTGCACTGAATTGTCCTAAAACAGCAATATCCTTGTGGCATACAGTAGCCCCTTTAATGTCTGAACGAGAATGGATATTTCGCTTTCCAACTAATTAAGAGGCCCTGCGCCTAAGAAACGACCGATGATTTCCGGCTAAAAAATAAAATCGGACGATTTTTATCTCCCAAGTAGAGGTTACCGAATACTATTCAAAAATGAATTTCTTTTGTTTTAGTTTCGCTTTAAACCAAAAATATCGAGCCGCAAACTTTTTCCGTCTGATAGCAGCAAAATCAGGCCTAAAATAAGCCCTCGCAAAAACGGTTCAGAAATCACTATCGCAACGCAAAATAGCGAGAAAACCACACAGTGATGAAGAAAAAGGCCTTTTAATGCAATATCATTCGATAAAAATCGAAAAACTGCCAAAGGGAATAAAAAATAAATTTTCAAATATTGCATATTAAATTAGATGGAGCGTTGGAGTTGATTTTAAAATAATTATTTCTCAAAAGTCCAACGCTGTTGAAAGCAATCACAGTGATGAATCAGACATTGGAGGGATATACATTATGATTCTGGAAAAACATTTTTCGGCCAAAGTATACTGACGTTGTGCAAAGCGTTCAAAGTTGCAGTGTTTACCGTTATCTTGCTACTTCGGCGAAACACTTCTCTGTTGCCAATACGGCCGTGGATAACGTGGTAAACGCCACTTTAATCCTTGTTAGGCGCTCAGAGACGATCCTAAGTAGAAGAACATAGAATTAAAAGAGAAAGGAAGATGAAAAATAGGCAGAAAAAGAAAAGAACTCGAAATTACCATCTGCTGACGAAACTTGAATCTGGAAAATGTCGTCGCGTGACAGCGGCCAATGATATCATTTG